CTGAGCAAGTGCTCTCTGCGTCTCATCCAATGTCGGCGTGTCCGTCACACGTCTTTACATCGTGCTGCTTCAGGCTGTTCAAAGTAGGTTAGCCGATCACTGAAAGGTTGTTTAAGAGACAGTCAGTGTTTTTGCCAGACTTGTATTACGTCTGCAGTCTGTGTGCAGGCAGCGCCTGAGCTACCATCGAGCAGTGTCCTCAGCGGCTCTGATCTCGGTCCATGCACCGCCTTTAAGGTGTCAAAGAATTCCTTGTATTGGCGGCGTTCGGTGTAGCATTCCAGCTGCTTCGTTTTTTTACGTACACCATGCATTTTTATGCGAAGGAGCTCTCGGGAAACTGACTATTCTTCACCAAGTCAATAGGGTCTGCGACATGTTCAGCAAATGCTGCATTCTTCTCCGATACCAATGCGCCAATCGTCGCATTGTTCTCAGCAAACCAATCAGGCCGCTTACAGTTTGTGTGTCCGATGGTGTCCTCTGCACCAGCTGTCACCTGATCGCGAATGTGCTGCCGCAGGTGGCCTACTGTGGCTATACATCCCACAGGCGTACAGCCATCGTCTTCTCCAGCTCAATATGTTTATTCACAGTTCCGAGGGAGAATGTTAAATTTACGCCGATTCACGGCGGGAGTGCAATACATTGATTTACGGAAATATATATACAGGTTGGTCCGCACGAATTTGTGATCAGTGCCACACCCAGCTCCACGCATTACACGTGTCATGCGCATTGCAAGCATAGTACGCTGACGTACGATGACATAGTCGAGCAGGTGAGCGTGACCACACCGTGGGTGCGTCTAGGTTGCTATATCATTCGCACTCAGTGGAGACCGGTTGTTCGTGATCGTCAGGCCGTGAGTGGCACACAGTGAGAACAGCCTGTCACCGTTCGCATTCGCTGAACCAATGCTATGCGGACTGATGACATCTGTCCACACCGATGCATCACGCCCAACGCGCGCGTTGAAATCACCCAGCAGAAATAGTCGGTCGCTCCTCGGCACAGACCGTATCACGGAGGACAACTGAGTGTAGAATTGATCACGCGTGTCATCAGGATAACACATGGTCGGGCCTTACGTGCTTATAAAAGTGACAAACTTACTTCTTCCGAGTTCTTAGGCGAGCAGCAATCAGTCGCGCGCTGATGCATGTTGGTTCCCCAACCAGCTGACCATGGGGGCGATCGGATATTGCAAATCCGAGCCATATTCACGTGGTGCTGAGGTGGCGTTACCCACCCAGTAGAAAGAGTAGCCTGCACCTGCTTCATGCGACTTGCTCAGAGAGCCGGGTTTCACTGAGCACCGCAATGACGATGTTGTAGCGCGACAGTTCTAGCGCAGTGCGTCGCTCGGGGCGTTCACTTGAGTTCCGGTCCAGTAGTGTGCGCAGGTTCCAGTACCCGATGCTGTGCTTTGCGCGCAGGCATACGATTGCATTGGTAGGCAATCGCACGCGAGGTGGTGGTTGTGCTTCGGAAGTTTGGTTGAGGGACTCCACCCGGAGCCTTTGGCTCATTAGCCTGACCCACAAGGCAGTGGGTGGTTCGGAGGTTTGCTAGAGGAACTCCACCAGGAGCCTTTGGCACAATAGCCTGACCCACAAGGCAGTGGGGAGCAGATCTAGCTCGGGAATGTGATTGCAGAGACAGATTGGGATCTGCTTGACGGCCGTCACACGCAGCCTTGGAGGTACTGGAACGATTCATATATGTTTTGCGACCGTAGTAGGATAGGCACCTGCGACCACGGCCAGACGCAGGTGGGTTTCGGCGGGTTTGCACCAATTTGACCAGGGGCTGCCTGGCTTGAGGCGGGCAGTAGCAAACCATTGAGCACCCGGAGGTGCCCACCCACCGTCAGAGACAATATGTGGCGCTCGTGCTGTACGCCAATCGAGCGGTGAGCTTATAACCCGTAGACCTGTTGTCTTCCATGGCTAGGTTTTACAAAAAGAGGGCCATCGACCACTTCCTATCCTCCGAAGAGGATGGACTAGGATACTGGCAGGGCGCCCACACCAGACAGGAGAACGACTCGGGTCCTCAGCCAAAGCCTTCGATTAAATGAACACCCGAAAGGCAGCGGGTCTAGCACATGGTCAGTTCACTGACTCATGCGGCTTGGTGTCCTGAATCTTAGCAGGGAGAAGAGTGTAACCCAACTCCTACTCGGCGATCGCCACGAGGAGGCGTCAAGGACATGAGCCCATGGCACAACTGTAGGAGCAGTGGGTAAACCATGTGTCAGGATCTAGCCACCACCAGTCTCAGTGCACCATAGGCTCATCCGCCTACTCGTCATGTAACCTAACATTAACTGACAGGCTGATATGCCACCGTCTCCATAGGTGGTTGAGACGCTGGAAAGTGACACTGGCCTTGCTAATACGCGAAGTAACTTTTTCAGTGATGTGATCGAGAGAGGTGACACAGCTAGCAAGGTAAGTGAAACAATCCACAAGTTCCAGTGGCTGTTCGGTGATAGCTAGAACCAAGGGTGTATCGGTCCAGTCCTGCAACAGTACTTTACATTTTGAGGGTGCAAAGCACATGCCGAAGCGTGCAGGGCTACGCGTCGGCCGGTGACCGGAAGGGTTGCACGCCTGGCTAGCAATCCTCAGGTCAGCGGTTCGAATGCTCGCGGTATACTTAGCCCACGCGCGACCGGTGGTGGCCGCATGATAGCAAAGCGTCGGTACAGTGGGCCGGCGTACTGCTGATGACATTTTTCGTACCAACTTCCAAATCTGATAATCTTTCAGAAGTCCGGAAAAGCACTAGAATACAGTTTCAGCTTGGTGGGCATCATCAGTAGAAAGTATCCATCGGATCTATCAGGATTTTAACCATGACCACCAGCCGCTTGCACCGCCAGTCAGAAGCTTATGACAGTGGGCCACGGGGGACAGCTTCGGACCGCCAAGCTAATTGCAATAGTAGTGTTTGCATAGCCAATGCATCAGACCCAAGGGGAGATATGTCGTCCGCATCCTCAAGATTTATCAGTCGGCAACCCGGTAGAACTTCCATTCCAGTAGAGTCTGAAAGAACCGAATCACTGATGAACATTTAATCACAAAGCTGAAGAGGAAAGGGGATTAAGGACGACCCTGACAATCGTCACTTGTGATGGGGAACTCAGGAGATAAACGCGCCTAGACCCTTACACAGCCTCGGGAATCACGGCAGATACCTCGGAATACAAAGAAGTTTATCTAGTATGCCCTTGATTGATAGGCACTGCCACTATTTGGATTGACCACTGAAGTTGGAGGCGGGTATCAAATAAGGGAAAACAATCGTAGTCGGTCGTCAGTAGGTGCCACTGCTTTAATTTGGTACACTACTAATGAGTAGTATGGTGAAACGAGAAGGCGCGATGAACTCGGAATAATGAGTCACGGCGGACGACGGGCGCGTAGTGCATAATGCAACTAGCCCTGAAAATAAATGGCGCTGGAGCGCTGAGTTGATAACACAATGTGCAGCGTGGAATCAAAAGGCACCGCGAATAATATGCGCAAATGAGTCCGACTGTTTTATGTGAGAAATGTCATGCCATGTATAAATTCTTTCTCCAGTACACAACTCCTTCGCACCGCCCCGCGTTCTCACTACGACGATGTACGGTAGGTATTTATTTGGTTGACGGTAACAAATTCATGGCGGAAGCTAGCCTGGCTTTCAGTGTTTCGGTTCTCACGAGGACCAGCAAATTAACCAGGAATAATAACTGTGTGAGAATTTTGGAGGCAATAGAAATAAGGCTAATGCCTCGATGGCTTTCGTACAAAGGACGCTGACCCTTCTTCAAGATGGGCATGACAGTTGAGAGTTGCCAACATGAAGGCATTTCTTTAGTGTCCCAAATTGTGCAGTGTAGAGAAGCAAGTCTAGTCAACAGAGTCACAAATCTCAGCAAATATGGAGGAAGGGCGTTGGGTCCTGACAGTGAGGTCATGTCGAATTGCAAAGTAGGTGTGGCATCAGCTTACCATGTGGATTCCGGTTAATCAGCAAATAGCATTGTTGCATCATACCTGCCGAACTGCTCTTTAAAATATTCCACTTACTGGGCTAGACGAGGAGACTGAGAATGAATCAACCGTTCATCTCTCAGCTATTGTCTCGCTAACTGATGACTCCCTAATCCCTGATCCGGATGAACTGGAATAGCACTCGGCTGTTTCCAATAGCACTGCTTTTCTTCATCTCACGGGTCTTAGCCACCCAACAATGTTCCCAGTCGATTCCAAGACTTTTTGTCAGCCGTCGTTTTAGGGTTACGAACGTACTTAGACTCTGCCCGTTGGAACCTGTTTACGCGCTTCGATCAAACTGATGGATGTATTCTTCTTAACATCATGATTAACTGAGTTTCTTGAATTTCTGCGGTTCGATACATCGAACAAGTAGGTAACATGGTGGAATGGAAGCACGGATAGGGGACGTATTTCAGATCAGCCAAATTAGTTTCCTCGAATGTAGAGGGTGGTGGATTCGATTGCCATTAAAGGTACTTCAACGACAGCATGAATCATAACAAGAGTAAGATGAAGGCAAATGATCTTTCCACAAAATAAATGTATCCCGCCCGTCGGGAAATATACCCATGCATTCATTTATATGTACAAAAATATCAGCCTAAATTTCTAACGGAGAAATAAGGACCAAGAGAACCCTGACAGCGCTGTCACATCCACATCTCGGACTCGCAGGTATACGATATCGCAGAGTTCAGATTTGAAAATGTCTGGAGATGACGCCTAACGCAGTACGCCTGAACAAAACTCTACCATGTCAACCGACGGTTTTGTTCCACTTAAACTCATAGTGGTGCACGAAGTGCAATGCGCTTTCCGCGGGAATGTCAACGGGGGGGCACACCTAGCACCAAAGTTAAATACAGTTTATAAGACTTGTGGTGCCTACACACCAGTACTAATGCGAGGTCATATCACCGTAGGTGTATATGAACCACTTACTTGACAAAGCAGCGCCGGTTTTACATCAAGACGTGGGATAACGTATTCGACCTAAAAATGGAGAAGTTAAATCTTAGTGACTGTAGAAAACGTAAGTAACAGTATGGCTGCGTAGAAATTTCGAAGCAGTAACCTCCAAGTGAAGCAGCACATGCCATATGTATAGGAACAAGTCTACAGTGAGTGGTGTGACGCCTAAACAATGACCACAAATCTTAATTATGTAAGGTAATTATTTATACTAAAAAGTTTGAGGCACTATTCAAATGCGAAGGCTATACACCGGTCATTTCTTAACTGTCGCATCTTATACCGTCTACGCTCATTAGGCCGCATGCGTTGTTTGTCTACTGTGCACGGTCACGCCAACTCACAATTTGCTAAGGACTACGTCTGACCTGGCTCGTGTTACTCCGAGCCAATTCGCAGCTGTCCGTGTGCCTCGCTAGACTCGCCCACTGTACACAAGTCACGAGTCAGGTCGGTCTGTGAAGCTGACCAGCCACCCCTGAACTTCGTATAGCCAGGTTGAGTTCGCTGACACGCGCCCGCCTTACGGGCTAATACGTTCCCCTTCGCATGAGTTGTGTCAACTCTGTCTTGTCTTTCTGGACCATGGGATCGTGATCAGCATAGGTGGGCGGTGTTTAATCGGTCTTCCGTCGATCACGTTCGCCCAAATGGCCAGTTACTAGAACCCAGAAGTGATGGTTTTGGTACCTAAACTAGCTGCCATAATAAAATTCTGTAAATATGATAGAGGAACAATTTCTTGGCTGTACTGGGCTGAATTAGGAACTATGGAAAACAGATGAGACGGAAGTTGTACTATTGGAATATAAGGGCCGAATTTCAAAGTAAACACATTCACTTCGATAAATTAACCCACAACCCAACAGGTGGTAGGCAACCTCAGTAAGTCAGAAAATAACCCCACTTAATCAAGTCGATGAGTAGGCGCATGATATGACTGCTCAATACGATACGATAAATACAAAGTCAATTTATGGGCCAGTATAGCTTACAAAAAAGAAATGGACAGACTATCAGTAAGGTAAGTAGAGTTTCAGAAAGTGGAATAAAATGGAGGGAATCAAAGGAAAATCAGTGCAGCGCAAAGGATATAATATATCCGCTCACTGGGATGACCGAGATATGTTCAATGAGAATTGCGATAGCCCTTGTTGAATCCAAATCGATAAAATACTCCAGCCTTTCTTTAAACACGTCAAGTAGGCGCCAGTTGGCGGGTTGCGACTGTTTTCGTTCAAAGAAATCAAACACCATGGGGTCTCGAAGCTGCACTAAAATATCGATTGCCTTGTCATGAAGACCAACTCTCTCGTACAGCACCGCCAGCGCCTGCCAAAGGTTCCTCAGGTTCGGTTCAAGCCCAGTCACTTCACTGAGGCCTCAAAAAAGTGATAATGAGAAGACGGTGCATGAGAAAGTTAGCGATTTGTTAGCAAAACATCGTCTTAAGCGGAGAAAGACTGAGCGCATTAAACAGTTAATGGAGGTGCATTTTACTCGCATGAACGAGTGGATTCTCAGTCATAAAAATGATTCCAACTAGTGAAGGTAGAATGCAGTTTAGCATTAGATCTACCCCTAAGTTCTTGAAAACAAGTGGCACAGAGATTGACATGTTACCCATGATAACCACATTTGTCGCTGTGTTCACATGGCATATTAGTCTAGTGGCGGCGCTGTAAACTTACTCCCATTTCGATGTGCGGTGACAAGAGGTAAGGAGATTTGCGAAGATGACCGACGTAACACCCACAAAAACTTTACCTCCGATCACATGATGGATGGCCAGGGGCGTTATGTGTGCAGACAACAGGGAACAAAACCAAAGATGGTTAACGCAGATGATCACATCCATGTAGAGAGCGTGAAGTCTCCAAGGTGGATAAAAGTAAAATTGATGCAAATAAACTCGTTCTCCACATCATAGGGCAAAAAACGTTATTGACAAATTACGATACTGGCCGTATGGTATACACCCTCTGTATAATAACAGTAAGGTAATCTTATTTACCGAAGAGAAGTCGTATAACGCTGTAATGAATCAGTGGGATATAGATGAAGCTACTTGAACAGCGAGGGAAACAAAGATGTCCGTGTGGGCGGCACTTGGAATTAAAGCACTTCTTCTGATTTATGGTTAGAAAATGTTACCTAGGACGCGACCAAGCATCACGGAAAAAAGACTGTGCAGAGAGTCATGAAATAACTCCAAAGGATAACAGAAACTGATGAAGCAAATGACATCAATAAATGATTAAAAGAAAAAGCAAATGAAATGGATAAAATTCATTATTTATGTATGAGGGATCGCAAAATGATATTGACACGAAGCAGTAATTGCAATCATGAGAACCAAATCAGGATAGGTGAGAAACCAATGAGTAACAACAGGCACAACCACAGGTGGGCAACACGGCTGTAGGGACACGATGATGTGATCCGTCGCCAACTCGCTCACCGTGCCTGTCAAGAATCGCCAAGAACGCCGAGCTCGATCAATGCAGTGTATAAGGAACCCTTTCGCTGTAACATCACACAATCTCCCAAACTGAGAGAAACCATGAAAAATCATCTTCTGCACACTCCTGCTTATCGTCAGCCAAGCGACAACACAAATAACCAAAGCAGTGAACAAAAATAACAAGTGGACAACGCTGTCCCCTACCTCACTCATAGCTGCACAACTACCAAGCATATCCTAACGACCATTTTTAGGGGAAGAGGGGATGATTTCGTAGCCAAACACAGACTACAACTATATGGTATTACTCTTCCCACAAGTTGTTCACATGACATGCCTGACTCAGCAACATGTTAGTCACAATTTGAATTCAAAACCCAAACTGCTTCTTCGTTCTTATGTTTAACAGCGGTCCCAAGTGATGAAATGTCCCCAAATCGGAACTGATCAGAAACAGCCCCGAGTACAACATCTGTGAACTAAACCTCATTCCCTACAGACTTCGATCTCAGGGCTTCAGATAGTGCTGATTCGAACATCCTGAAGCACCTGTCGGCCGACGAATTCAAAGCATATCCGCCTCATATTACTTCAACAAACAATGCAATGGCTGATGAATGCAAGCTCTCACAAAAACAAAATCCATTTTCTACTCTCACATATTTCCCACGCTGTTGCACCACTCATACTTGTGACTTAGACGTCGATAATGGAAGACATTCGTGAGTTTAACTAGCACTCATTTGGATACAACATCTTTATTGTTACCGTAAGAATGCACTGGGCGGTGATTGCGTCATCTAGGTACATAATAAACTGCGTGTCTCAACAGCGCATATTCCACCACAGAATTGCTTATAGGACTCCGTTTACATAGGAAACAACCCTTTACTTCTTGGGTGCGTTTATGTGCACCCAATTTTCAGTATCGTAGTAAGTAATACATTTGAAAAGCACGGTAAGAAGACGAAAACTGGTAGATGCATGCATTTCTTATTGTCTCCTCAGTACCATTAACAATAACCGGTATACAGCTATATACTTAAATATGGGTGTGACCGAATAAGCATGAGGTGCAAAATGAATGACGAAAGTTCCACCCCTATGTCTACGGCCGCCTTAACCTGACAAATAATTACTTTTGAACACAGAGGACGGGCTTCATCCGGCTTATCGCAACGGCCCAGACGAAACGCAGGAAGCGGGGATCATGGTGACGTAATACAAGTGTGAACACTGATCCAAGCTCTATCCGGTGAAGCGTAGTCAGTAGGTGTTTACCTGTTAAGGAAGCTGGCGGCTTGCGCAAGCACGGAACTTCAGTCGGACAGGGATGTTGGTCAGTTTCAAATTAAACCCACCTTGGCACGTGTTCCTTTATTCGGGAAGTCAAAGACCGGTTGGTTCTGCCTATGTAACTGTCTCCGCAGTCATACACGAATTTGTACATGCAGTGTGAGTTGGCCCCTATCGGTTGAGTTTCCTTCGTTGGAGGCACCGGCAAGTCATAGGTTCTATTGATGACCACAACCTGAGAAGCACAGTAATCTTTCTGCGTAGCAGAAATTAAATGTTTCGTGGTTTTTAATACAGTAAATTCACTTTTGAAAGGCAACTCTTTTTCTTGGCTGCTGTGTGCATTAAGTCTTTCGGGCCACACTGTTGGTTGTGTCTCTCTATAAATCTACGGGGATAACTATTTGCGATGAGTGTTGTTGTAAGTAACTCTAGCTCGTCGGCTAGACAATCAGCCGAGTAAATTCGTCTAGCATGACTAACTAAAGTTTTCACAAGGGTCCGCTTGTATCGTACTGGTGTGAAGCTGGTGAAGTGCAGGTATTGGCCGGACCGGGTTGCTTTTCTGTAGATAGACCTCTTAATGAGCCCGTCATCCCTGCGACTGATAAGGATGTCTAAGAATGTCAGACAATTCTTCTGTTCCACTTTGCAGGTGACCCGCAAATTGGTATGTGCAGTTGAGTTGCTGCACAAACTGGACAATCTGCTGCTCCAACGAACAAAAGGCCAATATGTCATCCACATAAGGCTTATAGTACGGTAACTTGGCTAGTTCTGCGGAGATGCCTCTTTCTATCATCAGCATAAAGGAATCGGCAAATACAGGGCTTAGTGGGCTACCCATTGTCACACCACCGATTTGACGATATGGGGTGTTCTGAAAGTGGAAGCCAAAATTTGCTGTACACAGAAGCATTAAATTTCTCAAACGACGAATTTCCGCTGAAACGGTCAAATTGCTTCATCGTACAGTCAGCCTTGAGGTGCAAGGTCGTGCGCGCGTGTGGAAATATCTTAGCTTACGAAATATATTCTCCTGCGTAGACACCCCCGCTCGGTTTTCACACTGCTGCGTAGAAATAAACTCAAGCCATCTGTAGCTAACCTCAAACGTGTGGCATCCGCTCACTTGGAGACGCCAGAGTCCAAACTTCTGAGTTTACTGGAAACTCATGCACGCCTACTAAATGTGATAGAGGATCCATCGTCGTGTTGTGTTCGCTAAGTTTTGCAAACCCACTCTCGACCGTACAAGGCGAAATCGGAATACTCGGTTGGAGAACTCACTTACGAACAGTCAGGATGGGGAGCCAATTGTTCGTGATCTTAGTAAGTATGTGGTGAATTTATCCGACGTACAACTAGACGCTTTGCAGTTAGAAGCTTTGTCATATGATCTTGATTACAAAATTCCTCCTAGAAGACTGGAGGGGCTGTTTATAGAAGCTCAGTTTGAGAACTTTTTTGATCAATTTAAGGAGCTTCAACTATCCGGTCATGAGAGTGTTGTTTGGTTTACAAACAAATGGATCGACATTGTTCACGAAGTTAAGTCTGTGGAAGTGACTGAAAAGTGCGCACTTACAGGCCGACACCTTTATGCGCTACGTGAACTGCGTACCAAGAACCAATCGTCGCATTGTTCTCAGCAAACCAATCAGGCCGCTTACAGTTTGTGTGTCCGATGGTGTCCTCTGCACCAGCTGTCACCTGATCGCGAATGTGCTGCCACAGGTGGCCTACTGTGGCTATACATCCCACAGGCGTACATCCATCGTTTTCTCCAGCTCAATATGTTTATTCAAAGTTCCGAGGGAGAATGTTAAATTTACGCCGATTCACGGCGGGAGTGCAATACATTGATTTACGAAAATATATATACAGGTTGGTCCGCACGAATTTGTGATCAGTGCCACACCCAGCTCCACGCATTGCACGTGTCATGCGCACTGCAAGCATATTACGCTGACGTACGATGACATAGTCGAGCAGGTGAGCGTGACCACACCGTGGGTGCGTCCAGGTTGCTATATCATTCGCATTCAGTGGAGACTGGTTGTTCGTGATCGTCAGGCCGTGAGTGGCACACAGTGAGAACAGCCTGTCACTGTTCGCATTCGCTGAACCAATGCTATGCGCACCGATAACATCTGTCCACGCTGATGCATCACGCCCAACGCGCGCGTTGAAATCACCCATCAGAAATAGTCGGTCGCTCCTCGGCACAGACCGTATCACGGAGGATAGCTCAGTGTAGAACTGATCACGCGTGTCATCAGGATAACACTTGATCGGGTCGTCTGTGCTTATAAAAGTGACAAACTTACTTCTTCCGAGTTCTTAGGCGAGCAGCAATCAGTTGCGCGCTGATGCATGTTGGTTCCCCAACCAGCTGACCATGGGGGCGATCGGATATTGCAAATCCGACCCCATGTTCACGTGGTGCTGAGGTGGCGTTACCCACCCAGTAGACAGAATAGCTCGCACCTGCTTCATGCGACTTGCTCAGAGAGCCGGGTTTCAATGAGCGCCGCAATGACGATGTTGTAGCGCGACAGTTCTAGCGCAGTGCGTCGCTCGGGGCGTTCACTTGAGGTCCGGTCCAGTAGTGTGCGCAGG